TATTTTGGAAGCTTGCTGAAGCCATCATGGATTGCCTCTTTATGTGATTTGATATTGACTGTTGTCTCCGAGCCATCAATAAGTTATTATATTTATTCATTTAATGTTTGCTTACTGTGTCCTAGCTTCTTGTTTTGTTTTGATGAGCCCAAATAGGCTGCTTGTATGAGCTAGTTTAATTATTGGCACCTTTGAAGTTCTAACGTCCTGTTACCAGGTGGTTAGATCTGTTACTAAGTATGTGAGCTCAGGGGTCCACCCACTCCTCCTGTATGGATTCAGCTCAGGTGCCCAGGTAGATAGCCACCAAGTATGTAGTTTAGGCTCTCACTTACAGTCCTAAACAGGCATGGGTGATTGGTGTAGGCACAGGCATCTGGCTGCAGCAGGGGGACACACTTTGAGCAAGGCAGGGGGCTGATGGCTGCCCCTGAGTGTCCAGGAGGAAGGCGTGTCCCTGTTCCCTAGAGCACGTAGGTGGGTGGGTTTTGCAGCTGGACTATGAGCACCTAATGCTGTTGGCTGTAAGAACTGGGAGCACCTCTTATTCATGGGCCACTCTCGCAGGTGGCTACGTGGCATGGGTGGAGCCACCAGTCCTCCGGCCCCTGATGTTGGTGTGTGAAGACTCTGCTTAATGGGCAGAGCAGTGTCAAATGTGAAGAACCTGCCACTTCACAGCTGAAACAGCTGAAGTTAGAGTTCCGGTATATACCCTATTGTACTGCAGTAATGAGGGCCTACACTGTTGAGATGGGCCCACACAAGTCTGTGCAGGGGGAAAGGCACTCAAAATCCATGGATCCCTTATGCCTGTGCCTAGGCAAAGGAGCTGTGCCTACCCTGGGTTCGTGGTTTAGGGGAGCCGGCAGTTTATTTTTTCCCCTGTTCGTTAATTTGTTTACTCTCCAAGGTGGAGAGAATGGCTCCTGGTATATGATGGATCCTACTTGTGGCCCAGGGGACTTGGCAGTTGCTGAAGCTGGTCCAGGACCCAGTGCAGAGCAGGGAGCGGGAAGGTAAATGGGAGAGAGGTTTTTCCCTAAGGGGGTTGTTTTTGATCCACGCGGTAGGCTGTATGCAATTACTTATCCTTCCCCGGATCGAGGGCTGCTTCTCACTGGTTCTGGGTGGCCGTGTAGACTCTCTGGCGCTGGGTCTCTCCCAGTGTGGAAAACGGGCCTCCCGAGGACTGCCGCTTGTGTGCCTCACTGTTCACCCCCGAGCTGCTCAGGCCTGAAGGGCTCAGGCTCTCAACGGGTCAGGTCTGGCAACTCCTCGCTGCTTCCAAACTGTCTCTCCCTCCCCCGCCACTCTGTCTGGTTCCTCAGCTATGCCTTTGATGTTCAGGGCTCCCAGATTGCCATATATAATCAAATCACTTTTTTGGGGGGGTCTTTGTTGTAAGAGGGTCCATCAGAAGCGTCTGACTACTCCGCCATCTTGGCCCCGCCTCCCTAGATTTGTTTTTATTTGACAGTCTGAAGGAGGAAGCCCAGCCTCCCCAGTCTCCCTATGCAACACTTGGAGAAAAGACCCCAGCCAGACTTCCCAGCGGGTGTAAACTGACCTTGTTCTCTCTTACCCTAGACTCCAGCTGCAACAGATTGACTACTCTCATCCAAACATCTACCAGGCACTTTCTCACCTCCTTTCTTTGTGCCTGATGTTACCACTACCTGGTATGTTTTTCCTCTCTCCCCTACTTGGCCAACTTCTGCTTTCCCCTTAAGGTATAGCTCAAGAATGACTTACTCTGAGTACACCATTCTAATTCCCTAATCCCCCAGACCCTGTGATATAATTATCTGTTAATAACCTATGCCCATCTATATAAGGACATTATCACACTATGATTTATTTATTTTACTTTTTTTGTGGTAAATGTATATGAAGGAGCCCTGGTGATGCAACGGTTAAGCACTAGGCTGCTTACTAAAAGGTTGGTGGTTTGAACTCATGCAGCAGCTCCATGGGAGAAAGACCTGGTGATCTGCTCCTGTAGATTACAGCCTAGAAAACCTTACGGGGTCAGTTCTGCTCGGTCACATGGGGTCTCTATGAGTCAAATTCAGCTCAGTGGCACCTAATAACAACATCTATATATGTAACAAAACATTTGACATTTCAGCCATCTTCACATGTACAGTTCGGTGACATTAATTATGTTCCTTATGTTGGTCACCCATTACCCTTATCCATTTCCAAATTATACCATCACCCTCAACAGAAGCTCCATACTGTATTTGAGTAAGTTACATATTTCTGTCCCTTCCCCAACCTCCAGCTCGTGAACTTGAACTCTGCCTGAGGAGGCAGGAAGTGTATCTTCTTCCTCTTGATGTTTCTAGGGCATGGCATATAGTAGGCATGCAGTAAATGAAGAAATGGGGAGAAACACATAGGTGTTTCCCAAGGTCTTGCTTCAGGAATCTGATGCAAAGGAACTGAAATTCACCTGATTGTTCTGAAATTGGCCAGGAGTGAAGTCATGGTGTTTGTGGTGACCTTGAAAAGAAGAACTGAAGAAAAGGTGTCCTTCTGTTCAGGTATCTGTGTGACCACAGAGGAGAGGACTTTAATCCAGTGATTCTCAACTGGGGCATCTTTGCGCCCCCTGGGGATATTTGGCAATGTCTAGAGACATTTTTAAGGAGACCTGATGGAGCAGCGGTTAATTGCTCTGCTGCTAACCAAAAGGTCAGCGGTTTAAACCCACCAGCCACTCTGCGGGAGAAAGATGTGGCAGTCTGCTTTTGTAAAGATTACAGCCTAGAAACCCTGTGGGGCAGTTCTCCTTTGTCTGATAGGCTCACTGAAAGTCAGAATCGACTTGATGGCAATGTGTAGAGACATTTCCGGTTGTCACAGTTGGGGTGGGGGTATGTGCTACTGGTGTCTAGTGGGTAGTGGCAAGGATGGTGCTAAACATTCTGCAGTGCAGCACCCTGCCACCCCAGCAAAGAGTCGTCCAGCCCCAAATGCCCAAATAACAATAGTGCTGAGGTTAGCAAACTCTGCTCTTATCCTACTAGAGGGAAAATGGGAGGAGGAAAGGAATGCAGCTTCTCTGAGGAAGTGATATTGGAGCTAATTCTCAAAAGATGAGTGTGTACTGCACAGATGGAGGAAGGAGATAATATCACAGTGATATGGGACCATGTAGGGGAACAAACCATGGAGGGGCACTAAAGGTCGTGATAGCTTCAGGAAGCGGCAGATGTGTGGCTGAGGGGTGTAAGAGGTGGTGGCTGAGAGAAGCAGGTAAGGTAGATGTTATGGACTGAATTGTGTCCCCCTAAAATATGGGTCACTGTGAGTCAGAATAGACTCCATGGCAATGGGTAATAGTAGTAGTAATCTTTAAGGAAGCAGATCACCAGGTCTCCTCTTCTCCTGTGGAGCTGATGGGTGGGTTTGAACTGCCAACCTTTCAGTTATCAGCTGAATGCTTAGCTGTTTCACCATCCTGGCTCCTTACCATTATACCTGTGGATGTAATCCCATTTAGGAATAGATTTTTCTTTGTTATGTTAATGAGGACATATCAGTGTAGGGTGTGTCATAAGCTAACCACTTTTGAGATAAAAAAGAGCAGATTGGGCCCAGAAGCAAGGAAGCACAGATGGGGGAGGATGGATGCCAGGCTACATGAAGATCACCAAGAAACCGAGGAACAGTAGCTAAAAGAGACAAGGACCTTTCCCCAGAGCTGACAGTGAGAAAGCCTTCCCCTAGAGCTAGCACCCTGAATTCAAACTTCTAGCCTTCTAAACTGTGAGAAAATAAATTTCTGTTCATTAAAGCCACACACTTGTGATATTTCTTTTATAGCAGCAGTAGATAACTAAGACAGTAGATTAGGGTTAGATTGTGAAGGGCCTTGAAAAGCTTTCACTGGAGTTGGTACCGTATCTTGAGAGCAATGGATAGGCATGGAAAGATGTTTAGCAGGGGAGGGACAGAGCTGGAGGTGAGTATTAGAAAGATCCTTCTGCTGCTGGTGTTGGTGATGGACTGGATGAGGCAGGACTGGAGCATGATGCAGGGAAGGAGACTGGGGATGAGAGGAGGGGACAAATTAGGATCTTGGTGACTCATGGGAATGGTAAATAAGGGAACGAGAGAAGTAAAATTGCCCACAAATTCTTGAAATAGACTTTATACTTCTCCTTTGCTAACTTGCAAGTAAGTAGCCTTTCCCATGACCACTGTGACGCCCATCTGGTAGTGGAGAACCTGGTGCCAGGTTATAACCTGAAACGAAAAATTGATTTAGCTAGTTGAATGATTATCATGGTAGCATTTGGCCCTTGGCTGAGTGGCCTTTGACTGGCCACTCATAGATGACCATTACTGGGGTCTTACCATGTACCAGGCACTGTGCCATGCAGTCTACATGGCTTAATTCATTTAATCCTCAAAACACCCCGAAGACTGAAGTACTGTTATTATCCCCATTTAATAGATGAGCACAGGGAAGCAGCGAGAGGTAAAGTGGTGAAGAAGGTATTTGAATCTTGGTGGTCTGACTTAAGAGCTTAGCTTATTATTTTTTTAATTGAAGTGAAATTCACGAAGTGTATAATTAGCCATTTTAAAGAGGACAATTCAGTGAAACACTGAACTATTGCCTTGAGACAATCTTTAAACCTTAAACCAAAAATATCCCCTGAAGTATTCTTTAAATCAAACAATAGTTTAGCTTAATTAGTAAATAATGTCTGCCTTGAGCATTGTGCTCTTTTAAAAAATTATCTATATGGGATCAAACTGACGATAGCAACTTGAGAGATTAGATAAGCATGGGGGCAGTGAGTTTATATTAATGGTGGAGAATAATTCAGAAAAGGACTTGAAGAATGTAGTCAGTCAATGTTGCTGAGCTGTACATGTAGAAATTGTTGAATTGGTGTATTTTTGCTGTATTTTCACCAAAAAAAAAATAAATTATTAAAAAAATTAAGTGGACAATTCAGTGGCATTAAGTACATTTGCAATGCTGTATAACCACTGTCTCTATCTAGTTTGAGAACCTTTTCATCACCTCCAAAAGGAAGCCCATACCCGTTTGGCAGTCACTCCCCATTCCATACTCCTCCCAGCCTCTGGCAACTACCATTCTGTTTTCTGTCTCTGTGAATTTTCTTATTCTGGTTATTTCATAGCAATGGGATCATACAATATGTGGCCTCTTATGTCTAGCTTCATTCACTGAGCATAATGTTTTCAAGATTTATCCATGTAGTGGCATGTATCAGGACTTCATTCCTTCTTATGGCTGAGTAATATTCCATTGTATAGATATACTACATTTTTGCATCCATTCCTCCATTGATGGGCATTTGAAGGAGCTTAAATTTTTAACTACTGCCCTCTACTGCCCCCACAGTCTTTAGATCCTGTAACAAATGCTGTGATGGAGAGGTGAACCCAGTTCTGTGGGATCCCAGATAAGGGAGTGCGAGAATCTTAGCATTGGAAGGAGTTGAAGGAAGTTTCACACTGGAGAGGATCTTGTAGCTGGGCCTTGAGGTACTTTATATTGTGGTCAGAGGATCTGATGGCCCCAAGGGGAGAGGGAAGCAGAAAGGGGAAAGTGGAGGTGCAAAGAATTCAGGAAGTGGTTCAAACAGTGGCCTCTTAGAGGAACAAGTAGAGAGGAGCCTGTCCTGATGTATAATGGGCCTGAGATATTGGAGGAGGGCAGGAGGGATGTTTTAAAAGGTCAGATAGTGCCAGGCAGAAATTTTGTCCTGGTGGGAGATTAGAGCTGATCTAGGAACAGGAGCATGATGCTCTCTTCTTGCCTAGGAATTGGCTATCAGGCACCTGGATGGAGAACCTGGAAGAGAACCAGGCTTGAGGGTAGATGAGGAGTCCAGTTTGGGATATATTGAAAGTGAGGAGCCTACAGGTCACGCAGGGAGAGATGTCCAGGAGGATAGAGAACCTCGAAGGGAACTAGGCTTGGTGGAAAAGGAGTAGTCCAGTTTGGGACTTGAGGATCCTGTGGGTTATCCAGGGAGAGATATTCAGGAGGACATAGTGATTTAGAGCTTAGAAGAGAGGCCTGGGCTGGAAACATGACCTGGGAGGCCTCAGCGGAGCCTGGAGGTATCCTCTCCACCTGACTCAAGTTCAAGTCATTTCAAAGAAAGGCTGGGCACTGAAAATACAGGGCTGAACAATCATAGTATCTGCCCTGGGGGGCTAGACACAGGAATAATCTTAAAAATATTTTATGTAAATTTTATTAAAGACTAGCACAGATACAGAAAAGGGCACAAGCGTTTACTCTCAAGTGTTTTACTAAAAAATGCTTTATAGAGCAAGCACTTTGGAACAACTAGCACTCTGATCAAGAAACAGATCCTTCCCAGAACCCCCAGAAGTCCCCTCCTGGCCCCATTCCAGTCACTAACTCCATCCAAGGGTAACCAGTACTCTGACTTCTAATATGAAAGATTAGTTTTGCCTGCTTTAAAACTTTGTATCAATGGCATTATGTAGTACGTACCCTTTTGTGTCTGGGTTTCTTCCAGGGCTTCGCACTGGTTTGAACCAGTTCAGTCATGGCCAGTGGCAACAATGCAGGGCTTCAAACCAGTTCAGACTGGTTCAGTCATGGTCAATGGCAACAAGGGCAGCGTATGTGTTGTATAGCAACCAAATCTTTTGCCCATCATATTTTGACCATAGTAGGAAACAGGCAGTGGTGCCCTGCTGAAAGATGGCGGCTGACCGAGCCACTTTGAGTGTGTATTGCTCTCCACGGTCCTGCCAGTAACCCAATCTCTTGCATCAGGCTCCTGAAAGTTTCACTGGGTCTCTGGCATAATGTGGCAAAGTTTCAGGAGCCTGATGTGGGAGACTGAACTATTGGCAAGGCTATGGAGAACGACACACATTCAAAGCTGTGTGGTCAGCCCCCATCTCTGAATGGGATGCTGCTGCCTGTTTCCTATTCAGGTCAAAATCTGACAGGCTTTGCAACACGTATGCTGCCCTTGTTTCTGTGAGCCATGATTGAATCAGTCTGAACTAGTTTGAAGCCTAATTACTTAACTCAACATTATGTTTGTAAGATTCATACATGTTGTGTTGAATTGTTATTTTCTTCTTTCTTTGAGTGAATAATCCATAATTTATTCATCCATCTTTCTG